TATTTATCGATCTAACACCCTTTGCAGGAAGGCACGGTAACTTTATTTACCTGTCAGACACCTTTTCAATTATATTTATCGATCTAACACCCTTTGCAGGAAGGCGCGGTCCATGCACCGCGCCTTACGCCACGTGGCAGAAGGCGCAGCCTATGCACTGTGTCGTGTGAAACGTGTAAAAAATCGAGTTAGTTTTGTAAATATTTTTAAAATTATGCCTAATATATAATTAATTTATGTAAGGGTGTTATTTGTATAATAACGTCAACTTTATTTATTTTTTTGTGTGATTATTTTTAACAAAATTTAATAAAGTTTATTGACTTTTAAAATTAATTATTTAAAAATATAAAATATTAAAATAAACTTTTAATTATAATTGAGATATCAAATGAATTATTATTTATTTTTTAAAAAATCAATAAAAATGCAATAAAAAAGAATTAAAAGTGAATAAAATTCAATACAAAAAGAATGTAAAGCTAAAAAAATATCACCTCATTGAGGGACCATTTTTTTAATATTAATTTTAAAAAATATTAAATAAATATTAAATTCTAATTTTATTAAAAATGAATAAACATTATTTACTGTTGTTAAAAAATAATAATTAATGAATAATAATTCATCTGATCCCTCAATTGTAATTAAAAGTTTGTTTTAATATTTTTTATATATTTAAACAATTAATTTTAAAAGTCAATAAATTTTTTAAAAATATATGAAATTTATAAATTTTTAAATTATAAAATATTTATCATCATCATCATTTTGTAAAATAAATACTGGTTATAAAACTTTTATAAAATTATTCATATTTTAAAATATATACCCTCAAAGTTTTCCTATACTAGATTATACATATTGTGTAATTTCATGCAAAAATAAAAATAATTATATTAAAAATAAATAAACATTATTAACTGTTGTTAAAAAATAATAATTAATGAATAATAATTCATTTCATCCCTCAATTGTAATTAAAAGTTTATTTTAATATTTTTTTAATTTTTTTTAAACAATTAATATTAAAATTCAATAATTTTTTCAAAAATATATGAATTTAAATTATAAAATATTTATCATCATCATCATCATCATCATTTTGTAAAAAAAATATTGTTTATAAAACTTTTATAAAATTATTCATATTTTAAAATACTTGCCCTCAAAGTTTTCCTATACTAGATTATATGTATTGTGTAATTTCATGAAAAAAATCAAAATAATTTTATTAAAAATGAATAAACATTATTAACTGTTATTAAAAAATAATAATTAATGAATAATAATTCATTTGATCCCTCAATTATAATTAAAAGTTTATTTTAATATTTTTATATTTTTAAACAATTAATTTTAAAAGTGAATAAATTTTTCAAAAATATATGAAATTTATAATTTTTTAAATTATAAAATTTTTATTATTATCATCATAATCATTTTGTAAAAGAAATACTGGTTATAATTTTTTTATAAAATTATTCATATTTTAAAAATACTTACCCTCAAAGTTTTCCTATACTATATTATATGTATTGTGTAATTTCATGCAAAAATCAAAATTTATCGAGTTATAAAATAATTTGCAAAAGAATATTTAAAGATTTTAATGTAGAAAGTTTTTTTCACACACAAAAAATAAATAAAGTTGACGGTTTTACACAAATATCAGTTAATATAAATTAATTACATATTAGTCACCATTGTAAAAATATTTACAAAACTAACACCCGATTTTTTACACGTCTCACAAGGCGCGGTGCATGGGCCGCGTTTTACCTTACGTGGTGCCAGATCAACGTAAGGCACGGTGCATGGGTCGCGTGTTCTTGCAAAGGGTGTTAGATCGGTAAATAAAAATGAAAGGGTGTCTGACACGTAAATAAAATTGGCCATGGTGATTTTTAAGGAAAATCACCTTAAAGAAGCATTTGCCTTTCACCTTTGAATTCAAACTAGGTGCCACACCAAAGGGTTGTAACCATTCGGCCAAGCACTCTCAACCACACATTTGGGTGCCAAGCATGAAGAGTTACACATCCACTTAGCCAAAGGCATCCTACACCACTAATTTGAATGATTCAAGGGTCTAAAAACCATAACCATTCGACCTAAGGGATGACAAGTCTAGTCGAACCATTACCTTCATTATTCGTCCTTATAGCATTGTATTTATTTATTTAAACATTGTAACCTTTCATAGGAAGCACCCTTGGTCTAACCCCTTCATTATGTATAGATAGCCAATGCCTTAGCTCTTGTAAGGCATCACTCTTATTACATCAAATATACTTGTGAGGTTTTCCTCTTTTCTTAAGTTCTATTAAACTTTTATCGACTTATCAAGTTCCTTTGGTTTTTGTGGCGTCAAACCCTCTATTCCATTGATACTTCTGGTCGTTTTGGTTTCATATACCAAAAATGTCAAAGTCCTTTGCTACCACCCTTGTTCAAGTATTAAGGTCTGGTGTTAGGCTTCCTATAGTCTAGTTTCTGCCTTTGATGTTGATGATACTATCCTAGCCCTTTCCGTTTCTTTCTTAAGCCCATCACCACGCCCAAACTACTTCCGCAGCCATACTCATATCATTCATTACAATTCAGCCCACCATTTTACCCTTTCATCAACTACCAAGCGTTTCTTTTGAGACAATCTTCTTGCATGTACTTACTCATTCACTAGATCCACAATCAAAGGGTAATTTTCCCTACATCAGCTGATTTGAAATATCCGATGCAGAGTTTATAGGCACATCAAAAAGACCGACATAACTTGACCCTAAATGATTATTAGAAGACCCAGCACCCATAGAAAGAGGAGGGACTTGGATCCCCATAAGACAATTTGGATAATTATCTTCATGCACGAATTGGTCAACACCGACCAAGGAGTGTGCTGGAACTTGAGCATCAAACAGGTCATTATTCAACAAGCTATTGGGCAACACCCCAGAAAAAGATATAATCAAGCGGTTCTCCAAAACCACACCACCACCAGAAATGGCCTCGTTATCGCTTACACTCAACTTATTACCTTGATACATGTTGTTACGCAAAAGACCAACAGAGTTTGCACCACTACCATCAATAAAAATACGGTTCTCCTCAAAATTATCCACCACCACTTTTAATTTATTTTAAAACTCCATCAATCGAAATTATGACACTAGAGGGAATATCCAAATCGTTTGGTAAGGAAACCATAAATTTTGCAATATCGAATCTGACCCTATTTGAGGTCTCATTGTCAGTCTCTATGATCTCGCCCTATTTCCCAGCCAACTCAGTAAAAAATTTCTAATGCCAAACAGCGAGAGGCATATCAACAAAGATACTCATACTTTAACCAATTTCTTATAAGCAAAATCATTCCAAGGATCAATAGAATAAAAAACCAGACTGGGCCACTTATTTTGATTCGACCAGCAAAGGTTGGAATTAATTAATGAATCAAATCGGAGAATAACAAGCAATCCAAACCAAGGACATACCTTCACATTCACACCCTCCGACAAGAGCAGTTCTTGTGCAAAGTCAGCATTATACATGCCTTTGATCCTTGCAACCAAACAACGAAAAAACCATGACATGTCTTTGGCAAGGATTACTTCAGTTGAGAATTCCAAGAAAGAATCAGCACAATGATCAGCACCTTGACATGAAGACCCTGGTTGGAACTTTTTAATTATTCTCACAGGGTCTGGCTCTGACTGTAAAACCTGATTGTCAGTCTGATCGAGCGTTGGAATAGGCCTTTCTACATCGATAGCACCAGCATCCCTTAGGCTATCATGAACGGACGGAGCAAGTAAATATTGTTCCTACTGCTGGAACCAACCCCCATAACAACTTCCTTGAAAGACCTATTATCTCTCAGAGATAGCTTACGGATGATCGATCTCCATTTTCTCACAGAAGAGTTCACAACAGTTTTCTTCTTACACAAGGTTTGGTCTCTAGCCTTGAACACCCCAATGAAAAGACCGTCCATCTTCCTCCTGTTGCCTCTGAGGATAGCATTTTTCGCACTTACTTTAGCTGCGAATCTTATAAAAGCGAACGTTGACCTGCTCAATCTTCTTTTTTGATTCCGATAAGCTATATATGTATCGGTGACTACACCGTATATCCTAAAAGCTTGACGTAGAGAAAAAGGTTGTATTCTCTTACTGATGTTATTGACATACACTGAGAATCCACCACGCCTTGGACCTTCATACCCCTTCGACTAAACTATGTTTTGCCCCTGGAGGCCCCTACCACTACTCTGACCGAGCAGGATACTCGACGATTGACTGATCAGTTTGAACCTGACGCGACTGTTCCCCTTCCTGGAGGTTGATTCATTGCTGGTTCTCATAACAGAAATGAGTTTGTTTTGATCAATGCTGATGAAAATTCCAGGGTAAGAAAGACCACATGAAATCTAAAAAGAAGAAGAAGCTTCATTAGCTATTGAGGAATATCTGTTTGCTTATTTTTGTATTTCTTACAATTTATAAAGTAGTTTTTTTAATATATAATCTGGGTGTGTTTTGGTAGGAAATGTGAAAAAGATTTTCGGATCGATGTTTCACTACAAATGTAAGAATTAGGGTTTTTTTTTGGAGGGATAGATTTATACAACTTGTCACTTTTTCCTCACCATTTTGAGCCATAAACCTCTAAATCTTTTGAGTTTTTAGAGGAAGATGAAAACAATGTTTCAGTCCTTTTAGTTTTATTTGGTTAATAGACATTTCTTTCAAAACAATGTTTCAGAATGAAACAACACAATGTTGTTTTTTAGAAACAGACAGACAAGCGAAGAAGAAGAAGAATAAGAAGAAGTGATACGTGGCAATCCAGTAGCGATTTTCGTTAAGACAGTTAATATCAGTGATTGATTTATAACAAGCTGATGACTTTTTAAAACATTGGTGAAAACAAACACTGACCCAAACTGACCATTTGCGTAGTTTACCATTTAATAAATTACCGTGTACTTAACCTATTATACACACTAGGCCGGCAGCCCGATAACAAAGTTTTGGGTGTTTGTTTTGATCAGTAATTTCAGTTGCGGGAGAAGGGATGAACTCGGTGGAAGGTTTAGTGACCCAAATCCAGGGGCTATCAAGCACCGCCTCCGATGTTTTATCGCTCCAAAATGTGCTTAAACAAGCTTACGACTCGCTCCATGCCGAGTCCACTCGGTTGTTGCCTTTTCTAGATCAACTCGACCCTTCCAAACACACTCTCGGTTACCTCTATTTCCTGTGAGTTCTTCAGTTTGGGTCTTCAGAATAATTGATTTTCTATGCAAATTTTGCCGTTCTTTCTTTCTTTTTCTTAAAAGAAAAGAAAATTGTTTTGTATTCTCTAAAATTTGATGTTTAGTTCAACATTGAATCTTGGGTTTCTCTTTTGATGTCTGGAACTTTTTTAAATATAGAATATGGGTTTTGCAATATAACTTGCTAAAACTTTGTGATTTCTTATGGGTTTCTTTAATGAGAAGGAAAATTAATCGTTATGAATTTTATTAATGATTCAACAGAGAGGCATGCACTGCTGGTCCAGTTACAACAGAATCAGCTAGGTCATTCGTGCTAATCATTGCCATATTTATCAGTTCATGTGATGCTGAGCAAATACGCTTGGCGCCGGATAAGTGTATTACTCGAGCTTTATTTTGGATTATTAGTGACATTGGAAAAAAATTTCGAGTTAGTTGTTAATACTTGATGTTATTAATGTGATTGGCAGTTATATCTGTTTGCAAGAGGCTCAAGGATCAAGTTCTGTTGCTTGAGGAGCCCTTGCGTGCAGTGGCTCCGATGCTGGCTGCTATTCGGAAGCTTCAGCCTTCGACTGAAAATTTGACTTCTTTACATCCGGAGTTTCTGTTGCTCTGTTTGTTGGCAAAGTGCTATAAAACCGGTCTTTCCATCTTAGAGGAAGATATTTTCGAGGTTGATGAGCCGAGGAATCTTTATCTCTATTGCTATTATGGGTTGGTTTGCTTCTCAAACCATTCGATTTGTGACCAAACTTTGCATTTAATCTGTGTCTATTATAGATCCATTTCTTCTAAAACTATTCAATAGCATCTCAGATTTTGCATTTAATCTTTGTGTTATCTGATGTTAAGTTCTTAGGAGCTCTTCTGTTTTCCTCCCCAAGAAAAATAGCTTCCTTCTTTAGGCACATGTTACATCTAAGATTTTCCTTTTTCATTATGAAGGTGTATTTCTATTTTTCTCAAGAATCAAGAAGTAAATATTGTTGCCTACTGAAAGTGAAAGATATATCCTTTAAATAACTGATTTGGTTCGATCTTAAGTTCAACATCATTCTCCTTGATTTGGCTGTTTCACTGGCCTTATTGAGGGGAGTCACTGATAGGTTTCCGGTTTGGCTTCGCGACAGGGGAATGATATGCATTGGAAAAAAGTGTTTTCGGAAAGCATTGGAGCTTCTACACAATGTATGCTGTTTCTTTACAGCTTTGTTGTTCACTGCTTGTCAACTAATGTAACAAATTATCCTATTTTTATGTGCTTCATGATAATTGTCTAGGTTGTGACTGCTCCTATTTCTACCATCAATGCCATAGCTGTTGAAGCTTACAAAAAATATATATTGGTCTCTCTTATTCACCATGGACAGGTATGTTCTGCAATTGACATATATTGTACATTTTATTTATTTATTAAGAATCTATGGACAAATCGATTAAAAGAAGAAAATAAATATTTTGACAGATTGGTTCTTGATTTAGAGGCAGTAGTTTGAGGAAGTGAATTATTTCACCATTTAGACAACATTTTCATTTGCTAGTTTGTCTTTTTCTTACCATCTCTGAATGGTGATTTTTCCTATGGTTTTTCCAATCACTTGGTTACAGCTTTCTACCAGTCTTCCAAAGTATGCTTCCACTGCTGCTCAGAGAACCTGGAATTTCTGTCAGGTGCATTTCGATTCTAGGACTAATGATGTTGGAAGCCATTTACATCAAACAGTATCTTTTGTTGTCTTTATTATTTCGTGTGTAGCCATATATCGAACTGGGGAATATTTATAGCAATGGGAAAATCGCAGACTTAGAGACACATGTACAAGCTCACATGGAGAAATTTGGAAGTGTGAGTGCTATATGAAATAATTTATACACTCTCCTGCTCCATTTGTTTGACGCTCTGAAAGAAGCTTTGTACTTTTACCAGGACAACAATCTAGGTTTGGTGAAGCAGGTTGTCTCATCCATATACAAGCGAAATATCCAGAGGTTGACCCAGACATATTTAACGCTCTCACTTCAGGACATATCTAACACTGTGCAACTGAATAGCCCCAAGGAAGCTGAAATGCATGTTCTTCAAATGGTAATGTCGTGTCTTCTGTTTTAGTTGATTAAGATTTAAGTTTCATATTATATGTTGCATATTTTCATTGTTCTTCGAATGCTCTTCAAATGCACATGCTTCAAACTTTAGATCCAAGATGGTGAGATATATGCTACGATCAACCAGAAGGATGGGATGGTTAGATTCCTAGAGGATCCTGAACAATATAAGACCTGTGAAATGATAGAGCATATTGACTCATCAATCCAAAGGTACACTGTATAGAATGAACTCTACTATCATGTTTTGCTTTGATAGATAATTTTGTAATGCTTATGACTATACTTGTCACACATGCTACTTTCTTGAGTTAGGAGTTTATTGTAATTTATGACAAAAGCTGTTATACAAAATCCCGATCAAGATCGGTGTCTGGATTCAGATCCCTACTCAGGGAATTAACACAAAGCCCAAAGTTCTAACTAGAACAAAAAATTCAGAGGGTGAGAAAATTCTAGTGTTGTTAATTGCATTAGTTCTTTAAAAGGAGTTCCAATACTGTTATTAATCATAGAGATGTTTAGCGGGACAGTGGTGATTAATTGTCGGGCACTTTTAATTATAAACAAAGCATTATCAAATGTTTTTTTCTGCATTCCATTACAGGTTAATGACCCTATCAAAGAAGCTGACTGTTTTGGATGAACTCATGTCATGTGATCCGATGAATCTAGTAAAAGTGAGCCACTGCCATTTCCATTCATCAAATTGTTTTAGCTAATGCTACTGTCTAAGCACCATTGATTAGTAACTAGACAATACCTTTCTGTGTCCAGGCTGGGAGAGAGCGACATAGGTTCGACTTCGATGACTTTGACAGTGTTCCTCAGAGGTTTAATATATGAGCGGTAAATAACAACTACAAAGATGCCGGACATACAAATATGTTGTCAATTAACTCCGAGTTGTTAAAGGCGGTGGCAAATTTTCTTATTTTCTTAAGTAGTTTCTATCACCTAATCTAAGGAATGTGTTTTGCTCTTACAAGAGAGATTATTCAACAATGTGATGGAAGACTAGCTTTTGCACGTTTCCTGAATAGAATGAGTTGATTTCAGAGTAGCTACCTCTTGCCTTTCTGTTTTCTCTCAATTTTTCTTCCAATTGAAGATGAAACTGGTTTAGACAGTTTTGTGGAGTAATAGAACAGTTTGAACAGCCTTCCTATTCACTGAGGCCGAAGCCGAAGCCATTTCATTCTAAGTGCAATTCTTGCATTGCAAATTTCATGGTAGAGGAAGATAGAAAATATACAAAATAGGTTGAGTGCTGGAAATCACTTTTTCAAAGAGCAGGGTCTCCAAATTCCAGTTGAAGTGATTATAGCAATTCATACAAACACGCTGTAGGCTCCGTTTAGTGTTAAACAAAGTGTAAACTGCATCCATGGTTTCCAAGATTCAGTGTGTTTTCATTTTGATCACTAATGTTTTAAAAGTTATATTTTAGTAACTAAAGTTATTGATAAATCATTGAATGACCACTGTGCCGTTGTTGACTTCATTAGGTTGGTAAAATCACACATTAACAAAATGGCTAATATCTAATTATCTATTTTGGCATGAACTGAGCGACATTAGTAGTAAAATAATTGTTTTTATTGTTTGAGATCTCGAGTTCAAGCACCGGTAATGCAAGGAGTGTGAGCGTTCAATTTCAATTGGTTGAGAGTTATCTTTAAACAAATATTATTTTGTACTTACTACCCCATATTAATAAAAAATAATTATCTAATTTGACCCTAACATCAACTTGATTTTTAACAAATTTCTTTAACTAAAAAAATCATCTTATTCAACTAACCCATCATCAACCCTCAATATTCAACCACCGTTAATCTTGATTAACACAAAGGCCATGGTTTAATCTTGATTAACATAAAGTCCATGGCCCATGGGAAAGAAAATCATGGCGTTTCTTGCTTATCATGGGACATGGGCAGATGTATTAAGCTCTTATAGGGTGTTAAATTTAGTTTAGTGTATTAAGTGGAAAATTTATGAATTTACATATCATTCTTAAAAAAGACTTAAAATTTTGGAATTCATTTTTGAATTTCTAAATCTACCAATATCATGAGCTACTATAATGTTCTTTTTATTAGTCTGAGTGATTATATGGTAATATTTGTTCGAAAGACTCTAAACAATTTGACAATTAATGCTCAAATATCCCTACAGAAGTTGTGTTTGAACATAAAACCTATAAAGATAACAAACATCCCTTTAATCAGTGAAGTCGTTTAGTTCATATGGTTGTTTTGGGTTACAGTGATGAGAACAAGTTGGATCAAATCTATTAACAACAAAAACTATGGTGAGAACTCAGAAGTTACTTGTTGTAACGTCTTTTTTGACGAATGAATAATTTTTTATGAAAACCCTGAATTTACAATTTATTTGGGAAAATTGAATTTTTGTGTTTATTTTGATTAAATTGATTTGGGAAGTCGCCATCGACCTTTGGGCTGGGTAGGTAGAAAACCTAAAAACATCCTTTAAAACAATTTTAAGAAAAATCATTTTTAAGACAGAAAACTGGTTTGCACTTGTCAAATATTCATTTTAGGTTCGGGAGTTGATTACGTGTGGGCAAGGGTTAACACCCCCACAACGGCAAAAAATTGGCACTTGGTCGTTTATACGTTGTCATAATAGTGGAAATTGAAAATTCGAATCAATATTTAAAGTTTGATCCTTTTCTTGAACATTGAATAATTTGTTTTGAATTATTTGTTAAGGGACATTCCTTATTTTAAAGAGAAATCACGAGGTTTGCACATCATCCAAAGGGAAGGCTATCCCATCTACTCCTCTTTTATACGAGAAATTTCCCTTCCTCAATGTTGTCAAAATGTACAAATCGAATATAAATTGAATGTCGATAATTGCATAAAAATAAATTACTATTTAAAGAAGCATGCATTGTATCATTTGAATTAAAATAAAATTAAAGAAACAAATTAATTAACCTTACTTTTATAAAATATACTTTGTAACACCCCATATCCCGTATATATTTCCATACATGAGATACAGATGTCACATCACTTTAAAGACATTACCTCTTTATAAAACCCATAAAATTTTGTTTCAAATTTTATAACCATACATTTTAACACAATGATAAAACATTCATTCAAACATATTACTAAAACTATCACTTTAAATACATTACAAAATATTTTTCTTAAATTCAATTACATGCCAGCTAAGTTTCAAAAGGAGTATGATTGTCCTAATGTTACTGACGAGGCAACCTTTAATTGATTGATAGTTGTTGTTGCTGCACTCTTTACTCGACAAATCTTTGATTTTTACCTATGCATGAAATCAACACACGTTAAGTATTTACTTAGTGATGCATAATCCTGTAAAGAAACTTCAATTTATTCATAAACATGCCTGACTATCAAAACCATGATAATTCATCTACTTTATGAGACTCATTTATGATCTTTTTAGTCAAATCAATAAATGACACCCTTTATGCCAAAATGCACTATTAAGAATTTAGTATTTCATCTAAATGCATTTAACCTTTCATCTAACTTGCATTATTGGCATCTTTCTGTCAAATGCACAGTTAGGCATTTAACCTTTCATCTAACTTGCATTATTGGCACCTTTCTGCCAAATGCACAGTTAGGCATTTAGTTTTTCATCCAAAGACATTTAACCTTTCATCTAACTTGTATTATTGGTACCTTTCTGCCAATTGCACATTTAGGCATTTAATCTTTCATCTTAAGGCATTTAACCCTTCATTTAACTTGCATTATTGGCATCTTTCTGCCAAATGCACAGTTAGGCATTTAATCTTTCATCTAAAGGCATTTAACCTTTCATCTAATTTGCATTATTGTCACCTTTATGCCAAATGCACAATTAGGGATTTAATTTTTCATCTAAAGGCATTTAATCTTTCATCTAACTTGCATTATTGACACATTTCTTCCAAATGCACAGTTAGGCATTTAATCTTTCATTTTAAAACAGTTCATACTCTAAAAATTATTCATAATATCAATTCCACACACATTATAAACATTGTGAGTCTCCCTTAACCCATATAATTACAATATATGCATTCACCTGATATGCTTCCCTAATATGCTGTAGTGATGTTTAACTACTCGACAACTTTGTCTTTGCCCTTGTTCTGGCTTGACTCGGGAGCTTGGTTAGAATCTTTGGCTATGGAGGAGAGCACAAAACCACGAGAGGAAGAAGAAGAGGAGTAAATAACTTAACTTAGTTTTTTTAACTTTCGCTTTTTCTTAAATCCCTATTAAAAGAAATGAGTTTTAAATTCATTTCACTCTAAAGGACCAAAATGCCCTTTCAATCATCCATTTCTTACTAATTGGTCTTACTCAAATCATTCCTTATACTTTAACATTTATTAAATTAAATCCTCTAATTTTAAATTCTTTCAAAATAGTCACTGACCTACCATTTGGGGTATTACATACTTGATTTATTTTTGAGTTCCTATTTCGTTTGAATAGTGTCTTGAATCACACTTCTTCTATAAAGCAGTGCTTTTCACACCCATTCTATGATAAAGGTTGTCGAAAGTAGTTTAGAATATATAAAAAATAGATCATAAATATTGAGCAATTTAGGGCATTCTGTAAACTTTAATTGATATTTACAACAATATTAAAATGTCTCTTTATAAATATATATATATATATATATATATATCAGCATGTGATAATAAATAAACAAATAATAAAGCGAAACTTAAAACAAAAATAGGAAAATACAAAGATCAAAAAAACAATTTTAAGGTGTAAAACAGAAACCAAATCATAAGTTATCAACACAATAAAAGGCAATCAAGCAACAAGTTAAACTTAAACAATGACTATAATATAAACATGGCAAAATGAGAACCTAAAACAAGAATATAATCAAATTTTATATATGGCAGCAACAAAGACCAAAATAAAATGAAATAAAAAGTACATGCCCAAAGCACAAGAAAATAAAACTTCATTAGTAGCTAAAATAAAATAAATTAAAGATCAATGACTATATTTGAATAAATGGCATATAAAAAATGTGACTGAATTAAAATAAAATAAAAAAGGATGCTTAAATCAAAGAAATACCAAAATAACATGTATAGTGACTAAAACGTGAGAACACGACCAAGCTTGAAAACCTAAAGGTAATTTTCCCTAGAGCATATGACTAAAACACAATAAGTGCTAAAAATGAGGACTAAAATGGAATTATACCTTAATTTAGTGACTAAGATTTTAAAGGTTGCCTAAAGTTTGGGGACCTGTGGGTAATTAACCCACAATTATGTGACTTAAATGCAAAAAACACGTTAAAGGTCTAGGGGCCTTAGCGTGATTTGCCCAAAAAATAAAGGAGGCCTAATATCCCTCTCTGCTGCTTAATTTTACCCGATAACCAACCATAAAACAAAATATTTCAACCCATTCTTCCCCCCTCACAATGCACATAGCGACCGACCCTCTAAAGATCCAAGGCTTGTGACGTCCCGACCACCGTATATTTGTGGTCGTTCGCTCCAACTAGCCACCTCGAACTGATCGATGAACAAAGCCAACCTAATCACAACCGAAACTGAGACCTGAACTAGCCCATTTTCCTTTTATCTCGCTCCACTGAGAACTAAACCGCTCCAAGACCGATCACCAACACTATTCAATGCAACCCCGACTCATAGGTGACCTAAGATTTATAACACCTTTAACCAGTATACGTCTCGATATACGAGCCAAAGATGTCACGTCAACTTATAAACACTTATTGAACTGAAATTTACATAAAAATATGTTTTGTTATAAAACATCTATTTTAACTTTAAAATCTATTTTATGAATATCTTAACTTATAAATAATTTCTTTGTCGTAGGAAAATAAATTCATTTATTAATCAATAATTTTACCAAATCATGTCTTTTCGTGAAATCTTTTTAAAACATAATAATATAATATATTCTTTTCATGTATAAATACTGATAAAACTAAACTAAGTAAAATAAACTAAAGTAGTTCTAGTTAATATTACATACTATTTAAAATAACTACGATAATTAGAACTTCTGACATAATTATACATGCCACTAAAAGTC